GGTTTCGTGTCAGATCATTACTGATGCTTCTTGTAAAAACTTGTAAACTCTTGTGAAGCACGACTCTCGTTTACACTTGTCAAGTGTCTGCAGGTCACATCATGGTGAAACGTGTAAATTAAGGGGAAGTACCAAAAGAAACTACCAAGAATGTAGGATGCCCCTCCAAGCCTAACTGCGCCCTGGAACTTTCCTTCATGAGCCTTCATTTTCAACCCCTGCATTTAACCCTTTTATCGCAAAACGTACCGTGCTGAACATTACTGATGCAGTCCAAGTACTGTTTGCCAGCATCATCATACAAATACTGCATTGACGCTTTCGAAACCATAAAGGGATCGTCCTTGTAGAACATTTGACATTTTGAGCTGAAATTATGCTGCTTAATCAAATATCCTTTCCTATGGTATAGTTAGGGAAACTGGTATGGGCCTGTTCGCAGTAATGTAATGTTTACAGCTATGGCACACTTCCGGGCGTTCTTTAGTGATAGAAGTGGTCATCAATATATTACACACAGCCTGTTCGCGGACAGCTGGTGATAAGTTGTGATAAGGAGCATGCAAGAGATAAAAACGAAGTAATGGAAGAACTGGTAACAAAGCAACCAAAGCTTAGTCAATCTCCCGTTCTAATAGGCAAGAACCATTGGGTGCGAAAGTCACCTAACTTCCTTTGAAGAACCAACGTAGCCCAGGTAGGATGTCTAGCCTGAATTTCCCACCGGTCCCACCTCCAAATTGGTCCAAGAACATCCCCTGAAAGCCTCTCTTCCTTTATGCCCCCACCCCTTCCCCTCCCTCCCTCCCACCATCTTCCTTCACCTCCACCTCGGAGGAAAATTCTGAAAAAAAACGGATTTTTCACTTTTGTGGAGACCGCTCTTAACAGTCGAAGACAACCCCCTTTCTGAGAAGATTCCTCAACCTTCTTTCTGGGAAAACCCAGATTAAAAGTCTCACTAGCTCATTACGATTCTCGTAGGTATTCCAACATTCATCTGTTCGCCCTTCCACGAGAGACCTTCATCCCCCGGTCTTTCTTCCATTCAACAAAATACCGCTGCCCTTTCTGACCTGTCCCTACCGTACTGCACTGTACTTACCGCTGAGAAGTCTATCACGATTTACTTTCTAGAGAGAGTGGGAAGTTCTATTAAAAACCCGAAGGCGGTAGCGCGCCACAGTCTGGCCGATCAGGCAGTGATAAGGACCACAGAGCCGTCGATTAGGTTAGTCGATCACGGGTCAAAGAAAAAGCTTTTGAATTAAGCCACAGTGGGCGAGAAGGGAGCTGGGATAGTGACGGTGTAGCTTCTTCCTCCGAACGTTGCAAAAGAAGAAACTATTCCGCTGCGTGGTTCGAACAAAGCGAAGTTGGCTAGAAGCCAACAAGCAGGTCCTCAGCTATTTCATTTCAACTAACGAGATTTCTTCTTTCTTTCACTGGCTAGTTGGACGAAAAAACCTTGTCAGGAGTTTAATCGCTTACGGGGAATCACCTATTCTGGCTGATTAGTCGGTACCTTATTAAAGTCCCAGCAGTCCACCAATCGATTCCTACACTCCACTTTTTAACCCAAAAAACCGTAGGATTTGCGCAAGTGAGAAACGCTGTAACGAACAATGACCTTTTCTCTGATTCTCTAGTCTCTCTAACAAGGCCAAAGCGAAGGCACTGGTCATCTCTGCACAGTAACCCCGAGTGCTGCCTTAACCATAAGCACAGTATCCACAGGTACTGCTTAAACAACTTAAATAACGAAGGTCAACCTACCCAATAATATTTTTCCTCTTGGTTAGTACTTCTTCCTTTGAACGAACTTCTTCATCACGATGAAACTTTGACCCAACACCACTACTACTGAAATAACCAAACGCCTGCACAAGACGGTCCATTATCCTGAAATCGATGACGTCATCCGAATACTTCAACTTTTAGCAATAAGAAAAAGAAATAGACATGAGAAGAAAGACAATAAGGCATCATACAGCAACTATCAAACCAGAAATGGAATGATCGTCCAGCAAGGAAATGCAACAATAAAGCTGTTTACACCATTTGTTTACCCAACCTTATATAGTCTGCGTGGAATCGGGTTGCTCTGTCCTGGACATGTTGGACAGTGTATTATGAAACAGCAAAAAAGTCATTATTAGACAGCAAATGTCCGTGAGAGAAATGGCGCACTTGGCCACGTGTTTTTCACGACTCATGGCCGCGGGGTACTCAGAAAGTCTTTCGGGTTCACGTGAAAATCATGTTCATAGCGGACCTCACTTGAGAGATCACGTAAGAGCATGACATCCACGTGATCACCCACGGCCGAAGGGGTTTTTCGGTCCCGGGATTCACGAAATAGCGCGGGTTCACGAAACAGCGCTAATTCACCTGACGAACGGGTGAAATTAGCCACCTAGGTTTGGAGTATTTTTTTCACAATGTCTTCCCACATGAGATGTACGTTACTTGGATACCAAAAAGGGCACAAGTGGGGCTGCTACAGACAAGAGCTCCATAAGGTCAAGCACAATATGGCTACAGTAACGCCAAAGGAGCTGTAGGACCTCTCTCATCAGCAAGGGTGGCTTTGTAGGAGCTCGACAAGCAAATGGCTAAGCTAATGGTCAACAATTTGAAGTTCATAGGTCCATAACCAACTCTGCTCAACGTAACTGTGGTTAACTAAATGTGTATAAGAATAGCAGACGGTGTTCGTATTGGAGGGCGGGGGGGGGGCATTTCATTTCGCTAGTTTACTTGTTTATTTTGTTGGTTCTTGTCAACTTACAGGTCTTACTTGGTATGGCCAACCTTACGGTAGCAGGAACTAAGAGAGATCTGAAAAACCTGTAAACCCATGTTGATTGTAACAGAGCCCATACTAATGACTAGCTCCACAGGAGTTCACAGGTCTGCTCAGAATGACTTGACTTCACATCAGCAAAATGCCCCTTCCAAGACCAACTGCGCCTCACTAATTCCACATGGTACAGTGCATTTTTCCGTAAGGCGCAGTATTCTGAACGCACTTCAACGATTCCAGAGCATGACCTTCCGAAAAATCGCCCCGCAAGGGTTTTGATATGAACGCCTCACAATCCCGAATGAAAATCGATTTCCTATCAATCAGAAAAGACTGGTGTTTCCGCTCAGCACAATGCTTATCATGGGAATATCAGAAAGAAGGTGCTTGGACGGGAAACATCAAAAAACTAGAACTTTCACAAAGGTTCAGGGTATTACGAAAGATACTTGGCAGAACACAATAAACAAGAAGATCAATCTACTGGCTATAAGGGCTGAATAATCACTTCAATTGCAAGAGCTAGAAGAAAGAAAAGCGCTACAGAATTATGTGCAAAGAACAAAGAACACTTTGAAGGTACAAGAAGTTGCTCTCCGGAATCAGTTCTATCGAGGGTGCCTTTTCTACTCGAAGTAGGCGTGTCCCCCCAGTGGTGTCTGTTCGCACTCTCTCGTCTGCATGTCAACTACCCCTCTCTCTGTCATCCCTCTGAAACCTCGCCAATCTTCATTTCGTCGCCTATCAGCGAATTTCTTCGACAAGCGCCGCTTAGGCACGGAAAGCTCGTGGCCGCTGACCATCTAGCGACGTGCGAGATAGCTTGTCAACGGAGGATGCGATGACGGGGTTGAAAAGCGTGTCTTCGTGCGAGGGCGAGGGAATCAGATAAGCGGTAGCGTAATCGCGGACAAATGACAAACATTACAGTGTGCGATAAGAACTGCGCGAGCATTTTTCCATGACAGTTCAAAGTTTTCCCCGTAAAATGGAAACGTGGCTTTGTTAAACTTAATTTACCGTAGTCTTGTTGATTCAGTGCAAGAACAAAGGCCTTTCTTTGACAATCTATTCCTGAGAAGAATTACTGCTGCTGCTTTCGTCAGTGGTCCCCTTCTTCGTGGCGCTATCTTAATCCTTGCCCTTTCTTTGGAAATCGTATTTTGCCATTTTTAGAAATCAAAAGGTCAGAGTTTTGTGATACAGCCGTCGCAATATGGCCTTCGTGCACTTTGAGCTCTGATTAGGCACCGACAAGGTAAGGCGTGACAACTAGAGGTTTTCAGAAACAACCCTCCTCTTGCTGGAAGACCCCAACCAGTGCATCACTGGGGATTCCCCATTAGTTGGGGGAGGGGAATCGTACTTGTCATCTGAGAGGAAATTTGCGGCATTGGGGAAAATGTTTCCTGGTTGGTTTTTCGCGGTCCCCCCCCTCCTCCCACCGAGCTCGAGCAAAATTTTGGGCGAAAAAGCAGGAAAACCCTCGGGAATTTGCAGAAAAAACTGGAAGAAGTGGTAGGAAGTCAGGAAGAAAAGAGAGGGAATGTGTGTTCCTCGCGGCTTTCCGCGTTTCGCAGCTGTGGAGCGGAGTTGGGGGTGAGTTGTGCTATATACCCTCATCCGCAACCCCGATCGACAGCTCGATCGTATCAGAGGAGAGAACTAGGAGAGTTGTATCAAGCCACCCCTTAGGAAGGCGGGGGGGGGGAGTCGTACGGACTCGACAACAATCCTCAACTAATGATGTAGCCTGTCCTCAACACCCCGAATGCCTTGGCCATGGTGGCTCTCCTGGCTGTCCCATAGTGAACATGCATCGCAGCTTTCTTCTTGTGGAACTCTACTCCGGGGCGCTCTTCGACTTGAGAGGGGCATTTTTCGCTTTCGCTAGATCTTGTTGAATTGAATGTCACCCTATAATGGAACCTGAAAATGCTTGTCAAGTGTACGAGATGCTACCGTTGCATAGGTTCACACGAAATTATAGGCCTCCACTGGAAGTATCGGCAGTGATCGATGGGAGCTAGCAAACTGCTCCTAAAAAACCGAACTGCTCCCTACAGACTGCCTACGCTATTTTCGCAAGGGTCACAGATGTGGAGATCTCCCTGCGCATATTGAGTCCAATCCAGCCATTTAGCAGCCTGTGAAGCCTTCCTGGTTTCTTTGTCCAGAATCGCGAGCCCTATGGGCGCCTATTGTACTAACCTGATGTTATAGTACACCCTTTTGTTATTGTCAGGAATACACAGCCCTGCGAGTACTGTACAATAACAATTCTGACACTCTTCAACTACAGCAACTCCACAATAATGAAAAGGAACAGAGTTCATTTAGTGTCGACATTTTTGGTTTCTATTAGTCCTTTTTTTGCTCTCTTATCCACTTGTTAAAGGTGAACGTCCAATAGGAATGAGCGAGAAACAGTTGATGTCTTAATGAAGTGTTTTAAATTAAAAACCGGAATTCTTAAATCATGAAATCACCATAAAATTGCATTTGAGGACGGTAGGGCCACGAAAGCAAGTGTAATATTTATAATTAGGAGGGGTCTAAGAAAATGTCGCGCTCAGTAGCTGAAGGGATAGAGCTTCATCTTCAAAAATGGATGGCATGGTCGCAACACTCAATAACCCTTCCCAAATCCAGCAAAAAAATGATTTTGAGGCCATAAAATTTGAACAGGAACAAATCTTTTCAGTAACCCGTAGCTTACTAAGGTCAACAGGGTTGAAGGAAATTTGTTACACTGTTGTTGTGGTACTGAAAGAAGTGTGATAATGGTCACAGCTCAAGGTTGTTCGTGGTAAATAACAACGAAAAAAGCGAATCCTCAACGATTGTCGACCATCTGTTCCGTAACGCTGTGACTTTTCTCTCGAATCTTCCCCAAATCATCGGTCATCATACGAGCAGATCTAATGAAGGCTACTATAAATTGCATACAGTTGTTTGCATTTGATAGCTGCTGCTTACGCCTCAGTGTGCGCTCTGAAAGTTATCACAAGAGCACTGGAATGTGGGCAAAAGTCAGGCTCCAGACGGGACTCGAACCCGCATGTCCCGCTGACCAGGTGGGTGCTTGATGAGCATATTACAGTCATAATTCCTGCCAAACGCCAGAGGTGCTAGCGATATGTGCGTTGCGAGAGCAGCCAGGGCGCCTTCTCTCCCATCCTGAGCCACAATAATGTGGAAAAGCGCTGCCTTTGGCTTAGCTCAACTACGCACCTTAACATCCTAGCTTGTTTGCAGAATGATGGCACTGTACCACAGGTAGTCTTCTGATCGCATGGAAAGGCTCAATTTTCAACTAACAGTACGAATTTTTCAAGAACACTTCCTTTATTTGTGTATGTTTCACTTGTTCTATCGTTGTTAGATGAGCGGAAACTGACTTCATGTCTCTAAGTAAGTATTTTTGTTGATAGATTCAAGTCCATTTGACACAATGTCAGTGGGACACAAACCACACTATCAAAGTTACACTTTCACGCAGGATACACAATTTTGTCGCACTTTTTAATTTTTACAAGTCGCAGCCAGTCCGAGCCGTAGCCGGGTGCTGCAAAAGAAACTCGCCTCAAGGTAATTTGGCTTATGAAACTGCCCCCCGTCTGATTGGGACGATATTAACTATACGTGTAACTATTTTGAAGGCAGTTGGCACGATGGTTTCCCACTCGGCCTAAAATGCTAGTAGGGCGCTATGTAGTGGGGAAATGGCGAAAGAACGGAGTGAAACGGTCAAAATCCGGCGAAGAAAAAGCCTCCGTTCTCAGTGACTTGAAATCGATTTCGGACGAGTTTCCCGTAGGCATCTTGCCAATCACCGCTACCGAAGATACGGCTGCATATGTGTACCCATATGCATGCAGCATCACGGCCGCTTCATACCAATCCCTTCGCTTCATAATTTGCTTAGCAAATGAATGAATACGAGCGTCAGGAACGGTCGTCCATTTGTGGGCGGGCGTGGCGGGCGTTTGGGACGTAAAGTTGTGGCTTGATAGGGCCCTTATAAGGGCACCTTCCTCGGGGAAACCGCTATGCAGCGCCTGCCCAGGGTCGCGGAATTCTATCCTGCCA